AGTCACTGTGCACTAACTTCTCATGCAGGACCTCTGTCCTCAGAGTTTTATTATGAGAGTTAATAGCAAAATTTGTTTTCAAAGAATTACTTCATTTTAGTGTATTAAGTGGAGGATATTCTTATGCCTCATAAGTTATAGTTCTACATCTAAGTGTTCACAAAAGATGCATCATTCTTGAGTTCCTCTTCAAAGATAATTAAGTTTCTCAAAAAAAAAAAAACAAAAAGAATTCTAGAAAAGAAAAAGCAAAATTAACTTCAAGATGCAATGACTTTGAACAGCCCTGTCTGGACTATTGAGGAATGGTTTTTTTCTTTTCTTTTCTTTTTCTCTTTTTCTTTTTCTTTCTCATACAAAGTGTTAAACTCTTTACCTAAAATAGAGTTAATCTTCTGTGCATAAAGTTAATTGAAAATAGGTCTTAGTAAAAAATAAGACTGGGAATAGGAGAGAGAGGAGGAAGAGCAGTGGGAAGGTGGCTTTGGTGGGAAGGATTACTATGTTCCTAAAGTTGTATGTATGAAATTCATGCAAATAAATAAATAAAAGACCTGACTACACACTCACTGATGATTGTTGGAGCTGGTTGATAAATAATTGGATCTATATGTGTTGTCTCTGCTTTTGTATATATTTTAAAAATTACATAATATAAAAATTTATACCATAGACAAAAGTGATAGAGAAACCATGAACTGGGAAAAAATATTTGCAAAATTAGTAACAAGAAAATTTTAAGTTAAATTGGCAAGAACATAAACTGACAATTCACCAAAAGAAAGGGAGAAATGACAGCAAGCACACAAAAGTCATGATATGCTTTCTAGCAATATTTATACACAAATCATTTTTTTTCTTTTTTATTTAGTAAATATAAATTTTCAAAGTACAGTTAATGGTTTACAATGGCTTCCCCCCCCATAATTTCCCTCCCACTCACACCCCTCCCATCTCCCGCTTCTTCTCCCATTCCATTCACATCAAGATTCATTTTCAATTATCTTTATATACAGAAGATCAATTCAGTATATATTAAGGAAAGATTTCATCAGTTTGCACCCACACAAAGTGAAAAATACTGTTTCAGTACTAGTTATAGCATTACTTCACATTGGACAACACACTAAGGACAGATCCCACATGAGAAGTAAGTACACAGTGACTCCTGTTGTTGACTTAACAATTTGACACTCTTGTTTATGACGTCAGAAATCTCCCTAGGCTCTAGTCATGAGTTGCCAAGGCTATGGAAGCCTTTTGAGTTCGCCAACTTCGATCTTATTCCGACAGGGTCATAGTCAAAGTGGAAGTTCTCTCCTCCCTTCAGAGAAAGGTACCTCCTTCTTTGATGGCCCCATTCTTTCCACTGAGATCTCACTCGCAGAGATCTTCCATTTAGGTCTTCTTTTTTTTTTTTTCCGGGGTGTCTTGGCTTTCCATGCCTAAAATACTCTCATGGGCTCTTCAGCCATATCCGAATGCCTTAAGGGCTGATTCTGAGGCCAGAATGCTATTTAGGACATCTGCCATTCTATGAGTCTACTGTATACACAAATTATATACAAGTATATCTAAAAATCAAAAAACTTTACTTAAAATGGGAAAAAATTTTCAAATATCAATAATGCTTTAAAATTACAAAAATTTATTACTGATTTTTGTAAAGTAGCATCTAAAATAGCTTGCAAGAGTATAAATTGCCAGAATTTCTGATAATACATATTCAGAATCTTAAAATTTTACTGATCCTTAGACTCAGTAATTTTACTTCTAAGAATAAGAAACTAAGATTTATGTGAACTAAGAACAAGCTACATTTGAACTAAGAAAACAATTGTGGGCGTGCTCAAATATGTATCCAGAGAAATGTATAAAAATGAGGTGATCCCTGTCCTCAGGAGCTGGTTCTCCCATCCCCCCAGCTTTTCCCCATCACATAATCCTGACGTTTCTGCTTCCTGCACTGGAGCGTAAGCTCCATGAAGCCATTATTTTATTCCCAGTGCCTAACTACCACCTGACACCTGGTGGGAACTCAGTAAATATTGTTGAAGACATAAATGTAAATGAATGAAAAGATAAGAATCCCATTGATACACCAACCCTGGTGACTCAGTGCCCTTCTTTAGATGATTTACATCAAGGAAAACTTTACAAAGGAAGCATAGAGACTGGTATGAGGCCTGAAGAATAAGAATCAAGTAATGCAACAAACGGGTTAAGAGGACTGAAGATCTTTACAATAATCCTGTGAGGGACTTTTACAGCCTGTGACGGTGTCCCTGAAAAGCTCAATGGGGAACAAGCAGTTTCAGATTCATATGCGATGTGATAGCTAGTCTATACATACATATAGCACACATACACTTACAAGGCTACCTCCACAAGCTCATGAAAAATGGAATTAAAAATAAATTTTAGTGTACAAAAGTTGTTAAATACAGGCGCAACTTTTTCATAGTTCACATTTTCCATGAACTTTCTGAACACTGCTTGTAGAAGGATTTGTATCAAAATTTTAAGAGTTGCTATTTCGAATGCTGAAAATGTGAGTTATTCTATGTACAACCAATTGTTGAGTTTTTCTGTAATAAGTACGTATTAATTTTTAACAAGAAAACAAACTAGTTTTAAAATGTTATACTTATGAAATTATCAGTTTCAAACTTAGATGATCTGGAGTTGAAGGTGCCCCAGTTCCTAAAGTCATAGGAAACCTGGCCCATCTTTCCTAAATACGGAATACACTGGTATATTTTGTTTTGGGAGAAGAAAATAATTAAAATATTAATTCTATGCTAAAGTAATAATAAACATTTTTTTAAAATTTAAAGCAGACTTTGCGTACATGATCAGGAGGGGAAATACTTTTTTAAATGCATTTTTCTTATTTTTCTTTGGGCTATACACTTAGAAACTCAGAGAATTTTTCATATTCTTTACTTGAGAGGACAGTAGCTTGAAAAAAAATGACAGAGATCCAGATAACCCACTGTGTAAATTGCTAAGGAGCTTACACAGATTGTCAGACATGATGTATGTGGATACTCTCTACTGGAATACTGGACAGGACTCTTAATACACATGCTGTATTGCCAAAGCACATTGCTAAGTACTATACATCAATAAACAATGTACACAGGGCGTCAAACATCATGAAAATTGTGTTCCTAATTATCACTGGAGAATGAAAAATCCATTAGTCAATAATTATATTAATATTCATTCAACAAATATTTGCAGAGTGTAGACTATGTCAGACAAGGTTCTAGGTAGTGAGGCTATAGCAGTGAACAAATATCTCACGTTTACCAAAATTTAGACAAGTTCAAAGTAAAGGAGAAAATAAAGATCACTAATACCTGCATTTTTGAACATGAACTCTTCATAAAGGTGTAGTTTGCACAAAGTGATTTCCATGTTTCTTTATACACAGTCCTGTGCCATGTAACCATGTTTTGGTCAGTAAGGGAGCTTGTAATCTACAGTGATCCTACAAGATTCTAATGGAGCTGCAAGATTCTCCCCACTCATTCCAACATCACAGCACATACACAGTTATTTATGGCACATAATACTTGATATTGATAACACACAACTGGATTACTGGCTTATGCATTTACTATTCTTTCTATCCTTATTTTAGAGTGCATCCTTCCATTGATATATAAAAATCTTACTGGAAAACAGTATGCTAGGTTATGACAGCAGCAGCCTCACTCCTCTCCCAGTTACCATGTCTCAAGAATGCCTCAAGAGGTCATGTTGAGTGACTGAGCTATGCCATCTAGCCTTGTGTAAGTGTATCCTATGGTTCTTGCACACAGTTGAAATCACCTCAGGATACATTGCTCAGAACGTACCCTTGTTGCTAAGCCATCCATGACTTGTACATTAAAACTTAGCCAATTATTAGTGAAAGTATTTTCCATCTCACTAATTTCCAAAATAGCAGTTTTGACCAGTCATAGAAGGTAAGAGGATAATCATACTCTTTTCCAAAAGAGACAGAGGAAGAACGATCAAATTGAAATGTGAAAAGAAAACAAAAATCAACTACTGCATGTTTTCCGCCTTGTAATTCCCTGGGAAGCCTTGTCCTCCTGAGAGCTGCCAGAGAAGACAACCTGCCCAGTGAGGCGACTTGTAGAATGTGGCAAATGCTAGATGGTGATTGACTGGAGGAACCAGGATGCATAATTTATCCAAGTGGCATGCAGCTTGAGCAATCTCTAATGTAATTTTGGGCTTAATTATTTGGAAAAAAGGTAAATGACACATGAATGAAATCCGTAAGTGATACAAACCTGGGAGTTGTAAATGCCAATGAGGAGAGGCAATAGTGCGGAGGTGTGGGGAAGCAGCAGGCAACAGCCCAAAGAAGCTCAGCTTGGAAAACAGGCAGCAGAGAAGGACTAATGTTGCCTACTGGGCCTGTCCTCTGGAAAACTGGGTCTCAGGCTTGCGAGTGGAGTGCTCACTGGTGTACACACGCTACTGTCCCATGTGCACTTTCACAGTGAAGACCAGCAATCTGACATGGTCACTATTTAAACATGAATAGAAGGCCAGTGCTGTGGCTCATTTGGTTAATCCTCTGCCTGGGGCACCGGCATCCCATATGGACTCCGGATTCTAATCCCAGTTGCTCCTCTTCCAGTCCAGCTCTCTGCTGTGGCCCTGGAAGGCAGTAGAGGATGGCCTAAGTACTTGGGCCCCTGCACCTTCGTGGGAGACCAGGAAGAAGCAACTGGCTCCTGGTTTCGGATCGGTGCAGCGCTGACTGTAGTGGCCATTTGGGCAGCGAACCAATGGAAGTAAGACCTTTCTCTGTGTCTCTCTCTTTCACTGTCTATAATTCTACCTGTTAAATTAATTTTAAAAAAATGAATGGATGTCAATAGGACTATAGATATGTTTGTCCAAGTGAATCCAGGAATAAGGACAATAGTGAATGGGGAACCAATTAAAAGGAAGCTGGAGAGAAATACAATCAGTTTCTTTTTTAAAAAAACTTTTATTTAGTAAATATAATTTTCCAGAGTACAGTTTATGGATTACAATGGCTCCCCCTCATAACTTCCCTCCCACCTGTGCCCCTCCCATCTCCCGCTCCCTCTCCCATTCCATTAACATCAAGATTCATTTTCAATTATCTTTATATACAGAAGATCGATTTAGTATATATTAAGTAAAAATTTCATCAGTTTGCACCCACACAGAAATGCAAAGTGAAAAATACTGTTTGAATACTAGTTATAGCATTAATTCACATTGGCAACATATTAAGGACAGAGATCCTACATGAGGAGTAAGTACACAGTGACTCCTGTTGTTGACTTAACAATTTGATACTCTTGTTTACGGAGTCAGAAATCTCCCTAGGCTCTAGTCATGAGTTTCCAAGGCTATGGAAGCCTCTTGAGTTCACTGACTGACTTCGATCTTATTTAGACAAGGTCATAGTCAAAGTGGAAGTTCTCTCCTCCCTTCAGAGAAAGGTACCTTCTCCTTTGATGGCCCGTTCTTTCTACTGGGCTCTCGCAGAGATCTTTCATTTAGGTTTTGTTTTTTTGTTTTTGTTTTTGTTTTGTTTTGTTTTTTTTTTGTTTGTTTTTTGCCAGAGTATCTTGGCTTTCCATTCCTAAAATACTCTCCTGGGCTCTTCAGCCAGATCCGAATGCCTTAAGGGCTGATTCTGAGGCCAGAGTGCTGTTTAGGACATCTGCCATTCTATGAGTCTGCTGTGTATCCCACTTCCCATGCTGGATCATTCTCTCCCTTTTTTATTCCATCAGTTAGTATTTGCAGACACTAGTCTTGTTTGTGTGATCCCTTTGACTCTTAGACCTATCAGTGTGATCAATTGTGAACTGAAATTGATCACTTGGACTAGTGAGATGACATTGGTACATGCAACCTTGATGGGATTGTATTGGAATCCCCTGGCACATTTCTAACTCCACCATTTGGGGCAAGTCCGATTGAGCATGTCCCAAATTGTACATCTCCTCCCTCTCTTATTCCCACTCTTAAATTTAAGAGGGATCACTTTTCAGTTAAATTTCAACACCTAAGAATAAATGTTGTGTTAATTACAGAGTTCAACCAATAGTATTAACTAGAACAAAAAAATACTAAAAGGGACAAAGTATTAAATTGTACATCAACAGTCAGGACAAGGGCTGATCAAGTCATGTTTCTCATAGTATCCCTTTAACTTCAACAGGTTTCCTTTTTTATGGTTGGTTAGTTGTCACCGATCAGGGAGAACAGTCCTTTGGGACTGGCTTAATTCACTCCCTACCATACAACCCAGCCATCCCACTCCTTGGAATTTACCCAAAGGAAATTAAATTGGCAAACAAAAAAGCTGTCTGCACCTTAATGTTTATTTTGGCTCAATTCACAATAGCTAAGACCTGGAATCAACCTAAATGCCCATCAACAGTAGACTGGATAAAGAAATTATGGGACATGTACTCTATAGAATACTATATAGCAGTCAAAAACAACGAAACCCGGTCATTTGCGACAAAATGGAGGAATCTGGAAATACAATCAGTTTCAATGGGATCAATGTGTAAACTTTTCAGCATGAGAGCATTGGGAAGAGCTGACCTCTCATGATGGTTGAAACCTGCTACTAAGGGCAGGATCCCTGTCCCCTGCCTACAGAAAGCCTGGTGTACTACCAGCTCTCCCAAGTCCTTCCATGTCTGGCAGTCTAATTCTCCCACAAAACACTTTTTCTCAAGTCATGGCATCAAATTTTGTAAGGGCACCAACTTTGTGGTGCAGTGGGTTAAATCACAGCCTGCAATGCTTGCATCCACGTAAGTACCTGTTCAAGTCCCGGCTGCTCCACTTCTGATCCAGCCCTTTGCTGATGTGCCTGGGAAAGTCGCAGAAGATGGCCCAAGTGCTTGGGCCCCTGCACCCATATGGGAAACAGATGGAGTTCTGGGCTCCTGGCTTCAGCCTGGCCCAGCCCTGGCTGTTGCATACAATTGAGGAGTGAGCAAGTGGATGGAAGATCTCTTTCTCTTTATGTCTCCCCCTCTCTCTTTGTCACTCTTCTTCAAGTAAAATTTTTTAAAATGAATCTTTAAAATATTCTTAAGCATGTAAACTTAATTCTTTCTCTCCATGCTATGTCACTCACTCTGTGTGGGGCAGGCTTCACTCCCAAGGCCACTTATTGCCTACCAGGCAGTGTCAGAACACCTGCGAGCTATGGATGTTGCTTTGTCAATTATGGCATATATATATAATATATATAAATTTTATATATAAATATATTAGATATTAGATATATAGTGTATATATGGTTTACAAATATGCACACTAATTTTAAAGAGATATTAAATAAAAGGAGAATATTAAAAATACAGCAATTGGGCTAGTGGGATGTAGGTTAAGTCATCTCTTATATGCCACCATTCCATATCAGAGTGCTGCTTCAAGTCTTGGCTGCTCTGCTTCCAATCTAGCTTCCAGTTAATGCTCCTGGGAAGGCAGTGGATGATGGGCCAAGTGCTTGGGCTTCTGCAACTCTTGTGGGAGACTCAGATGGCCCAGACTGGCTGTTGCAGCCTTTGGGGATTGAATCAGTGGCTGAAAGACCTCTCTCTCTCTCTCTCTCTCTCTCTCTCTTTCTCTTTCTCTCTGGCTCTGCCTTACAAATAAATAAATGAATATTTTAAAAATATACAAGAACCTAGTTACAATTATTGTTCTTTCTATATCCTTCGATTCTTCAGTATTTTTTAAAATTTTTGTTTATTTTCAATTTTTATTATTTGAAAGACAGAGACAGGGAGAGAGAGCTACAGGGACAGACAGGCGGAAATCTTCCATTCGCTAGTTTACTCCTCAAATGCCCACAACAGCTAGGGCTGGGCCAGGCTAAAGCAGGTACTTAGTCTGAGCCTCCCTATGCTTGGCAAGGACCCAAGCGCTTGAACCATCACCTGCTGCTTCCCAGGGTGAGCATTAGGAGGAAACTGGGTTAGGAAACAAAGGCCAGACTCCAACCCAGGGACTCCCGTATGGAATGCAGCAATTCTACACAGTCCTAATTGTGGCACCAAATACCAGCCCCATTCAGTATTTAATTTAACACCTGCGATTCTATCTTCATAACAAGCTACTGAAACTTGTCCTGTTACTAGAACGTCCCAAGGTAGGCATTCTCCTCACTTTGGGATCTCCAGAGCCAAATCTGTCAGCTATACAACAGCCATAGTCTAGAAGACTTGGGCCACCTGTGTGGTGGATCTGAACACTCTTACTACTTAACTGCACCTTGTCTCCCTCTCTCTTCTCTTGCAGGAATCAGGAGGTCACAGTTTTGTCCCCTGATGATTGGTAGAGCTGTGAAAGAAAAGAAAAAATAAATACATGCAGGGTCTTCAAGAAGCTCATGGAAACTTGTAATATGAAAAAACTGCCTGGATTTCAAAAATTTTCGCATGAAAATCAATATATTTTAGTTCCGTTTTCCATAATTTTTTTGAAGTGTCGTTGCATAGTTATCTGTGATAAACTCTTCTGTAAAACTGATTGCTGTTTCTTTCCCTTCCCAGGAATTCATTCATATGCCTCTGCTTTGGGTACCTTTCAAACCAGTGCCAAGTGGGAGAAACATACAGGGGCAGACTGGCTGCTAAAGACAGAGCTGTGCCTGGGGTTGTGCTAGTAAATGTTCCCTCTCTCCTGCGGAGGGAGCAGCAAACTTACAGCATTTGCCACTTCCATGGTGTTAATACCTCCACTGCAGCTGTTTTTAAGCTTGCGTGGTGATGTCACTCAATATGGAAGTGGAGAGAGGCGGTAACCACTGTGCCATGCTAGGCAGTGCAGGCAAACTTCAACACACCTCTGGAACACGCCACTTCCTGCACAGAAAATTTTAAAATGCATTAAACAGCACATAACAGGTTTCAACATAGAGAAATCAGGGAACCACTCAGCCATCGTTTGGGGGCATGCATTGACGGGCTTTACTTCCTTCAGCAGCTATGAATTACCTGTGTCAGATACTTTGCCCCTCTATCCAGTTTGCATGTGAAACATTGGAAATTGCTTTCAAGACCTAACACAGGTTAATGCTATGAGCGCTATTGACATCAAATCTATTAGCTGCCAGCACAATTACATTAAGCAGCACCCCATTCTTTCTCACATTAGCTGGATTACAATGGTCCCATTGCTAAGATTGTTTCAAATTAAAACTGACAAAACGCTTGAAAAATATATACTCATGAATAATCCTGAACTGAAGGGAGTAGATAAATTGTGGGAGGGAAATTGCCTAGTTAGCAAATAAGGATTCTTCAGCTATATTTCCTGCGGTTCATTGTTAACAAGATAATCATGCAAAAAGTCTTCCTTTGAGACACAATGAATGAGTTCAAAATCACTGATAACTAATATTCATTATTTATTCTTCAAATTCTTTCTTTCTCTACAAATACATTCAAAACGTCCTGCTACAAAAATGCTTTCCTTGTCTCATCACCCAGGTGACAAACACTTGGAGGACATGCAGGCCAGATGTCCTTTGTATCCCCACAAAGTTGGGGCTGGCACAAAGTCCATCATTCTGTAGTTTGTTGATTGACTGATGTTTTAGTTAAATACAAAGGTTTTAGATAGGTATCAGTGTTCCTTCTAATCCACATAGTTGTTGTATTTTTCCAAACTTAAAGCTAGAGCATATCCAGTGACAATTTTTTTTCATACAGAAAGCTGTAACAATGTCTGGCATGCAAATGACATTCAGTTTTTTGTTAACATGTTGTCTTTCTTGGAAAGAACAAAAGTTTTAGGTCATATACTCCCATTAATATGAAAAGTGTGGACCAGGTGGCAATCCATTCATCCACTGCTGTTTAACAAATCATTCCAAAAGGTAGGGGTGTAAAGCAGAAGTCATTTTTATTACCAACCATGGCTCACCTGGGTGGTGCTGGTGGGAGAGCTCTCTCCCCAGCTGATCACCAGAGCTCAGACCCCTTCCCAATGGGAGGCCGTCTGGGCATCTCTATATGGTCTCAGTCTCAAAGGCCTCTCCTTGGCTCTCAGTCTCTCAAACTCCGTGGAGTCAGGTATACCCCACTTCTTACATGATGGCATAGAGCTCCCAACATGCATCCTATAATGAACCCATTGGAAAGGTCAAGTGGACTTTCCTTAGCTAATCCCAGAGCACCCAACCTCAAGTCTGCCATGTTCTCTAATTGAGGCAGCCTTCAAAGGAGGAGAGATAGACTCTACCTTGATTCTTACATATTTTGTTAATTTAAAGAATAACCATCAGGAAGCGAGATACACAGCAGACCTATAGAATGGCAGATGTCCTAAACAGCACTCTGGCCTCAGAATCAGCCCTTAAGGCATGTGGATCTGGCTGAAAAGCCCATGAGAGTATTTCAGGCATGGAAAGCCAAGACACTCTGGCAAAAAAAAAAAAAAAAAAAAAAAAAAAAAAACACTAAATGAAAGATCTCCGCGAGTGAGATCCCAGTGGAAAGAACAGGTCATCAAAGAAGGAGGTACCTTTCTCTGAAGGGACGAGAGAACTTCCACTTTGACCACGGCCTTGTCTAAATATGATCAGAGTCGCTGAACTCAAGAGGCTTCCATAGCCTTGGAAACTCATGACAAGAGCCTAGGGTGATTACTGATGCCATAAACGAGAGTGTCAATTTGTTAAGTCAACAACAGGAGTCACTGTGCACTTACTCCTCATGTAGGATCTCTGTCCTTAGTGTGCTGTACATTGAGATTTAATGCTAAAACTAGTACTCAAACAGTATTTTTCACTTTGTGTTTCTGTGTGGGAGCAAACTGTTGAAATCTTTACTTAATGTATGCTAAACTGATCTTCTGTATATAAAGATAATTGAAAATGAATCTTGATGTGAATGGAAGGGGAGAGGGAGCGGGAAAGGGGAGTGTTGTGGGTGGGAGGGAAGTTATGAGGGGGGGAACCATTGTAATCCATAAGCTGCACTTTGGAAATTTATATTCATTAAATAAAAGTTAAAAAAAGAATAACCCTCAGAAAATAAACTGTTTTATTTGTTAAGACAAATGTACACACACCTGTGAAACAATCACAATCAAAATAATGAATTTATCTAAAAGTTGTCTCATATTCCTTTGCGATTGCTCTTCGCTCTTTTCTTCCTAACCAACCCTAGACAACTACTGGTCCGTGTTCTGTCACTATTGATTAGCTTGCATTTTCTCAACTTTGTATAAATTGAATCCTAGAATACATACCCATTGGCTTCTTTTCCTTAACAAAGCTATTTTGAGATTCATCCTTGCGCATATCAATAGTTCTTTCACTCATTCTGTGTTAAGGTAAATAGTATACCTTTGTACAGATATTCCAAATTTGTTTAGCCATTCAAATATTGTGGCTATTTCAATCATTTCCAGTTTAGGGTTACTATGAATAAAGTTGATACAGAATCTCATGAACAGGACTTTAATTTCTATTGGGTTTCAGTTTATGAGTGAGTTGGCTAGAATGTACAGTGTGTATTTAACTTTTGAAGAAACTGTCAAACTGTTTTCCATATTGACTACACCTCTTCACATTACCACCCCATATATTACAGTTCCAATTTCTCCACACCTTGACCCACATTTGCTATGCTCAGACATGGGTGAGAGTCTATTGTAGTTCTAATTTGCAATTCCCTCATAACTTTATCATCAGTATATCTTCTCTGGTGAAATGTCTGTTTGAATCTCGCCTATGTTTTATTAGGTTATTTTTCCCAACTGTTGAGTTTTGAAAAATCTTTTATATTCTGTATGTAAAAGTATTTTATCAAATATATACTTTGTAAAAATTATCTGTCAGTCTTTGGATTTTGTTCTTACTCTCTTGGTAGTGTTTTTTTTTTTTTTTTAGTTTTAATTTTGAGATAATTGTAGATTCACAAGAAGTTGCAAAAAATAGCACAAGCAATTCTCCTGTACACCCCATTACCAACAACAACCTTAGCTAAATGGTTACATCTTATATAATTATTGTAAATTAGCAAAATTAGAAACTTGACATTGTCACATAGTTGTATGCCATAATACCAAACACACATATTTAGTCCAGTTTATTACCACAAATACTTCTCTTGTGAAAGCCTTTTGCTGTTATACCATGTTCTTTATCCCCTTTTCCCCATCAACCCTAACCTCTGGAAACCTCAAATCTCTTCTCCATTTCATGATTCTGTCATTTTGAGAATTTGATGTCAATTGGAATCACATAGTAAGTGACATTTTGAAGTTGGCTTTTTCCACTCATCACAATTCTTTTGACCCATCCAAACTGTTATGTGTATCAGTGGTACCTTATTGATGGATATTCCATGGTATGTATGTACTAAGTTTGTTTTGTCACTCATTTATTGAGGTTTAATGATTTAATATTTAGTGGACCACTTATTTATTTTTGTTGTTTTCAGTTTGGGGCTACTTAAGCAAAGCTCTGTGAGCATGGTGTACAGGCTTTTCTGTGATTGTACATTTTCATTTCTCGGGCATAAATGCCCAGGTGGCATGGCAAGTACATTGCCAGATTTCCAGCACCACTGTGTGGGAGATGTAGTTTCTCTGTCTCCATGCCAGAATTTGGTGCCAGCACATTTCTTCTTCTTTTAGCCATTCTTATGTGCTCATTGTGGTTTTCATTTGCATTCCCTTAATAGTGAATGATATTAAATACCTTTTCCTGTGTCATTTTTTCCTCCATCCTTTTAGTGAAATGTCTGGTTGGTTTTTTGCACATTTTCTAACTGAAATTTTTGTGTGCTGAGTTTTAAGAGTACTCTGCACAGTATATAGAAGTCAATTATGGCCGGTGCCACGGCTCACTAGGCTAATCCTCCGCCTTGCGGCACCGACACACCAGGTTCTAGTCCCGGTCGGGACGCCGGATTCTGTCCCGGTTGCCCCTTTTCCAGGCCAGCTCTCTGCTGTGGCCCAGAAAGGCAGTGGAGGATGGCCCAAGTACTTGGGCCCTGCTCCCCATGGGAGACCAGGATAAGTACCTGGCTCCTGCCATCGGCTGCAGCACGCTGGCCGTGGTGGCCATTGGAGGGTGAACCAACGGCAAAGGAAGACCTTTCTCTCTGTCTCTCTCTCTCACTATCCACTCTGCCTGTCAAAAAAAAAAAAAGTCAATTATCAGAAAAATCATCTTTAAAAGAGATTTAAATATGAAAAAATTATTCCTAAACCAGCAATTTCCAGTACTTCGTGTTTTCATGTGGTCTCATTTTCTACCTTCCTTAAGATACTTCTGTAACTTTCTTGATGAGCAGATCTGTGAGTGATAAACTCAGTTTTTGTATATCTGAGACATCTTTATCTTTAAAAGTTACTTTTGCTGGATATAGAATTCTAGTTCATTTTCTTTGTCTTTCAATACTGCAAAGATGCTCCATTGTTTTCTCACTTGAATTATTTCCGAATGGGAATCTACTATCATCCTTACCTGCTGGTTATTTTTTAGATTATTTCCCCTTATCATTGGTTTTTAAATTATGCCATGCCTTAGTGTGCGGTTTTTTTTTTTTTCATGTTTCTTGTGTTTAGGGCTCATTGAGATTCTTGGATAGTTTTCACCAATTTGGAAAATACCTCACCATTCTTTTTCCAAATGTTTCTTTGATTATTTCTATCCTGAGGGACTCTAAATTACACATAGATGAAGCCTATTAAAATCATCACACAAACCACTGATACTCTTTCCATTTTTTAAAGTCTCTGTTTCCCTGTGCTTTGTTTTTTAATAGTTCCTGTTGTATTTCCTCAAGTTGATCAGCGTAGTCCTCTCTAAAGTCTGATTGACCAGCAATCCCAACAGTATGCAGCCTGTCTCAGATACTGTAATTTTCTTTCTTCGGAATTTTGATTTCATGTTTATATTTCATCTTTCCTATCTCTACTTAACTTTTGGAATACAATTATAATAACTGTTCTAATGTCCTTGTCGCTAATTCGAGCATCTCTGTCAATTCTGTGTCTGTTTCAATTGGTCGCTTTTTCTTATTATTATGCACTGAATTATGCACTTCTAGGCATACTGGGTAGTTTTTCACTGGACACCAGACATTGTCATTTTGTTTGTTGTGTACTGGCTTTTCGTTGTGCCTATAAATATTCTGGAGCCTCTTCTGTGACGCGGTTAAGTGCCTTGGAAACAGCTGGATTCTTTTAAATCTTGCTTTTTAGATTTGTTACATGGAACTGGAGTGACTTTTTGTCTAGATCAACTATTCCCCATCCCTATAAAAACATCCTTCTGAGTATTCTACCCAATGCCCTGTGAGTTATGAGGTTTTCTGCTCTGATTGGTGAGAAAGGGCACTATTCCCATCCCTGAGATTGGTAGGCTAATCTCCTTGGATATACTTTCCCTTGACTTCAGGTGGCCTCCTCACGTGTTATTTGCTGATCAGCACTCTGCGGGAAGTGTGAAGAGCCCACTTCTTTCTCCGAGTAGCTCTCTCCTTTTTGGTACTCTTTGCCTTGGTCTCCACAGATTTTCACCAGCATCTCGCCCTGCATCCTCATGGGAGACTCAGAGGGAGCTCCTGGCTCTTCGATTTGGCTCAGCCCAGCTCTGGCCATTGCGACCATTTAGGGAGTGAACCAGCAGATGGAAGATTCTCTCTCTCTCTCTCTCCCTCTCTCTCTGCCTCTGCCTTTTAATAAATACATAAATCTACCAGAGAAGCCATGAGGTGCTTTGTTTACTTGAAGAGGGAAAAGTATGATATTTTGAGGAAGGGGGGGGGGATACAGAGAGAAACCCCATTCACACAACTTTTATTACAGAATATTGTCATAATTTATTATTAATTATTTCTGTTAGTCTTTGCTATACCTAATGTATACATTAAGCTTTATCCTAGGTATGTATGTATAGCAAAACTACGGTATATACAGGACTTGAAACTGCCTGCTATTTCAGGCATCCAGCAGGGGTTTTGGAACATCCCCATGGGGGGATGTGCTTTGGACTTCAAGTAATGGAATTCCCAAATAGAAATGGATGGCTTGAATAGTAAGGGATTATGATTTCATACAAAAAGAAGTTTAGAAGCGAAAGTTTCCAAGTTGGCTAATTAACATCTCACCTGTATCACAGACGGCTTTGCTAGCTTTGCAGCTTTTCTCCTTTGCCAGGTATTAGTTTAAAGATAGGCATGTGGGGCCAGAGTTGTAGTGCAGCCAGTTATCACTTGGAACAGCCACATCCATATCAGAGTGCTAGCGAAGTCCCAGCTACTTTGCTTCTCATCCTGCTTCCTGCTGGTACATTCTGGGAGGCAGCAGGTGGCTCAAGCGCTTGTGCTCCTGCCACCCACATGGGAAACTGGACTGAGATCCTGACTCCTGGCTTCGGCCTGGCCCAGCCCTGGC